GAAAATCACTTTCATTGAAAGAGGTTGCCAAGCTTCCAAATAACTACGAGTTTCCTGAAACCTCAGCAAACATTTTTTCACCAAATCTTGATGATACTTTCAGATAATGATCAGAACACCAATCCCACTTGGCTCACCAAATTTTGTTCTTCTAGGTAAAACCATTCTTTTGCAGTAACCGTTATCATTTTTAGGTTTCACTCTGTTTTCTCCTATAGGGATACATGTAATTGGAACTCTAAATCAAACACGATTTGTACTACGTCTTTGAAACTGGACACAATATAGCAGTTTCAAGTTCTATCTCTATGGTGTGTTTCCTATTCATGTAGCCCTAAGCAGAGACCTGCGAAAATCACTTTCATTGAAAGGGGTTGCCAGCTTCCAAAAAACTAAGAGTTGCCTGAAATCTCAGCAAATATCTTTCACCCAATCTTGATGATGCTTTCAGGTAATGATCAGTTCACCGATCCCACTTGGCTCACCAAATTTCGTTCTTCTAGGTTAAACCGTTCGTTTGCAGTAACCGTGTTCATTTTTAGGTTTCACTCTTTTTTCTCCTATATAGATACATGTATTTGGAACTCTAAAAAAAAACACGGTTTGTGCTAGCTCTTTGAAACTTGACACAATAAAGCAGTTTCATGTTCTATCTCTATGGTTTGTTTCCTGTTGATGTAGACCTAAGCAAAGACTGGTGAAAATAACTTTCATTGAAAGGGGTCGCCAAGCTTCCAAAAAACTACGAGTTACTGGCAATCTCAGCAAATATTTTTTCACCCAATCTTGATGGTACCTTCAGGTAATTATCAGTAAACCAATCCCACTTAGCTCACCAAATTTCGTTCTTCTAGGTTATAACAATCGTTTGCCGTAACCGTTTTATTTTTCAGTTTTCACTCTGTTTTCTCCTATTGGGATACATGTAGGTGGAACTCTAAATCAAACACGGCTTTTGCTACCTGTTTGAAACTTGACACAATAAAGTAATTCCAAGTTGTATCTCTATGGTTTGGTTCCTATTGATGTAGCCCTAAGCAGAGACTGGCGAAAATCACTTTCATTAAAAGAAGTTGCCCACCTTTCAAAAAACTACGAGTCTCCGGAAATCTCAGCAAATGTTTTTTCACCCAATTTTGATTTTACTTTCAGGTAATGATCAGTACA